TGCATATGCAGAGGATTTAAATAGGCAAGACCTCTAGTTGGCTTGCAGATATGGCAACTAGTGTAGAACTTATATAGTAATGTGTAAGCGGACTATTTAAATTAGGCATCAAAAGTGTACGTGTAGCTAGTTGTAACCTCCAATGTAAGGTGAGCCCTTGGTGGCATGCCGTGTCCTAATATACTTGAATAAAAAAATTGCAACTTCCAAGATAGGAACTTTAACTTAAAAAAAAAAATAAAAATAAAGTATGTATATAGAGTTTATAAATAACAGATCTATTAAATAGTAAAAAATTATTTATATATCTAGATAAGCTTTGTGCAAATCTTTAAACTTTTTATATTTTAAAACTTTAAAATTTTTTGTTTGAACAATTGGGCTAGTGAATGACAATGATATTTTTAGAATAAATTTTGCTCAAAAATGTTGTCACATCTTTCATTAGTTCTTTTAAAACTAAATTCATCAACTACTACAGTACTAGCATATATTCATTTGTAGTTGTGTTTTAACAATCTCATTCTCTTGCTGCATTCGATGTTATTTTCTGATTAGCAATTTAAACATATAAATATAAAGCATGTTACTAATTAAAAGAAATTATTTGCAGCTAACAAAATAAGGTATTAACTTACTTCTTTCATAAATTATAAGATTCAGAGAAAGTTTTAAATACTACTCTATATAATGATATATGTAACCACTTGTATTTTCGAAATTCATTTGAATTTATTTGTATACCATCTAGCCATATTGCTAAAAATTCATCACCAATTTTTTGAATACTATTAACTCTATTTTTTGAATATTTTTGAGTCTACTAAAAGAAATCCATTCAATAATGTTTAAGTGACTTATGACTTTGAGATTTCTTTATGCAATTATCAAAACTTTCATTTTTACTTAACCATCTTGTATTTTATGAGAACCAATCTAATAATGTTATCCTTTTCAATATCAGTTTTGTAATTGTAACAATAGTGATTTAAAAATTCCTATTAACTTTCTTGTTTTAGCAGATAAATGAATGCTTTATATTCATTTTTCTAACTCTAATTCCATTCAGATAACAACATATTAATTTTTATAAATTTTATAATTAAATTGACTATAAAATTTATAAAAAATTAATAAATAACTTATTTGTTAATCCAACAATCATAATTGACATTATTCTTCTCTGCACCAATTTCATAAATGTGACAAATGGCAGTTTAAAAATTATAATAGAATTATCTTAGTTAATTTTAGATAATGCATAAATGCTTTATTCTTATCTTATAATTCATATTAGCAGATAAATAAATATCTTATGCTTATTTCTTTACTATAATTTATTTAGATAACAATTAAAATGCTTTATTAAGTTTTCAACATGACAGATTTTTAGTATTAGATGCTTAATATTTATCCTTTCAATTTTAAGAAAACTTTTTAGAAATTATGAAATCCAAGTAATTTGTAGAATTACAAATTAAGTTCCTTACATTTGTATTTTTGATTTTTATTCTACATAGATAATAGGAACTTGAAACATTCTGTCAGAGTTACTTAATTCATTGTAATTGATACCTTATATACATCCTTCTAAGATCTGATTCAAATCTGTAAACCAAATCAAATATTCTACTTGTATTCTCTATCTCAGCAAATTTGTTTGATAATAAATTAATGCTTGATACTCATATTATAAACTACAGATGGTCGTAAGATCATAAGGTTTAAGCTGTAAGTTAAAGAAAATTACTACATTTTATTATTGGTAATTATTACCAATGATTTATAATATTTAAATTTAAATTTTTATCAAAGCAAAAATTGATTTTTTTAATATTTAGAGTAAGGTTTAAAGCTTAAGTTAGAAGAAAGAAAGAGCTATACTCAGAATTTCATGGAGAATTATTTTTATTAAAATGCTAAAGTAGCTTTATTAGTAAAATTTTATTTTATATTATACACTGATGATGATTACCAGGGGTGATAAATAGCAAATTTTTAAGTTAAAAAGTAACAATTTGTGCATTATTAATTAAAAAATAAACTAAAATTAATTTAAAAAAAAAGTTACTTGCCTTTCAATGACTTTTATCTTTTTTTCATCCTTATATTTGCACATATCATTTAGGGTTTAGCTTTATCATTATTTTTGCTAGAATTCTTATTATAAAAAATTAACTTTAGTCAATGTTCTAAGTCTTGAATGTTCAAATAAATTTACTTACTTTATATTTTCATAATCAAAACTTCAACTTACTTTTGGCTCCAGTTCACTTTGGTAACAACATTTAGATCTTTGATAATGAATTAATGTATTTTATTTATTATTTATTTTAATTTAATCCAATTTTATTTTGATGATAGTTGGCTTGAAAATTCTTTCTAAACTGCTTATTGCAGAAAGTCTTTGAAATGAATGCTTTATGTTCTTGCTGTTTAGCTTTAATTTTATTAACCATAACTAATTTTTCATTTTAGCAATTTTTGAAAATACATAATAAATGCTTTACATTTATATTTTTTTTACTTTTTTTTGTTAAATTAACATTGTTTAGCCTTAATACATTGAATTATTATGCTTTAAGAACTCCTAATAAATAAAAAAAAATACATGCCAATTAGATTATGCATATTTGAGTTTTTTTTCTTGAGCTTGCTGTGATAAGATTCAAGGGGATTTGTTGATGTAATCTGAAGAAGAAGGAATGAGTGTTGTTGGGTCCAAAGGGCCCATTTATCTGAATTTTTTAAATAATTCCTAGTAATATATTTAGCAACTGCTGAAACAGAACAGTTAGTTATAGCATCTTGGATAACACTTTCACATCTAGTCTTGGTTCTTTTATGCATTACATGGGTCATTTGATCAAGAGTTGATCTATGATATATATTTTTTATCCATGTGCATATAATATAAATTGTGCAAAGAAGAATACTACACTCTTGCTCTTTAGCTTGAGAATTTGGAAAGGCTGCCTTAATATCATTAGCTTCTACACTACATTGGTCAAGAAGCAAGTATCATGAGTTTCAATAAAGGGCAAACTTTTGAATAATTTTTAATACTGATATTACAGTTTTACTATTTTCATTACTAACATAAAAATGTGCATCTACATTTCAACAACCACAGCCATCATAAATATATAATGTAAATAATTGCCAACTATGCCTATTAGTCTTATATGTTGAGTTTATAAGAGTTAGCCAACTAGGTCACATTAGACTTTCTAATTGTTCTGAATTTGCAAAACAAAACCTATAGTAAGGTTTTCAAATAAAAAATCATCTACTTGATAGTTTTTTTTAGTTAAGAATTTTACTGTTTCAATAATATCAGCTTTTATACTAGATTCACCAATAAGATGTAAATTCATTAGGCTCACGAATTTAAATTTAATATTAGTAACATCCTGCGTCTTGAGATATTCTATACCTAAATTTTCATACACTTTCTTAGCTTCATTTTGAACAACATTTGCAATTGCTAAGAGGTGATAACCCTTGACTGCTTCTTTACTTACTAACTCTTTAATAAATTTTGAGTGTTTTCATATATCAACTTTATTAATAGTATGGCAATGATTTGGAGTGCTATTTATTTGTTTAACATGGACAATTTTTGTGACAAAAAACCAAGTTATTTTTATTTTGGCTTTACATTCAATAAGAGGCCACTTTCAAGTTACACAAAACATTTTAGGTAAAACATCTTCTTTTTTTTTGCTTGATTCCCTTGGTTTTGAAAGCCAACACATATAAACTTTCTATTCATCTCTATTTTTTTGTCTATATCCATTAAACCTTATCTAGAAGTTGTTAACAAGAGCCTATTGCTTTTCAAACTCTTCAATAGGAAGCTCAAATGAATTACTAATATTAAAATAACATTTATATAAGCCCAATATTATTCATATAAGAGACTTAAATTTTGTTTCTTAATAGTAAAAAGTATTGCACAATTTTCAAATTTTTAAAAATCCAAATTATGCAAAAAAATTTTTATATAAAGAAAAAAAAGTATTACACTGAAATTACATTTGAAAAGTGATTAGATGGGTAGTATTAAAGTTATATTGTTACAAAGTAGATTTTTAGCATAACATAGTATATTATATTATTAGTAGTTATTATATATTTATTATTGTATTTTATATTAT